GTCTGATAATGAACAGAAGCGTGCAGCGAACGGGAAGCGGGAAGGTTCAAATTCTGACGATTTCAAAGCCTGCTTGTTCCTGAATGATTTTATTTGCGCACAAACTGGCTGCTAGAATGGAGTGTAAAATGGCAGAGGTGCGACTGGTATGTGATCTTGGACAAACAAGTCATGTTTATGACCTAGAAATAAGGTTAATAGGCTCATTGTTAAAAGATATTTTTACGCGTTATTCAGAGTAATCTGCTGGTTCTAAAATTTTTATGTATTTAAGACAGAAGTCGCATACCGCATAAAAGCAAAAGAATTATTGAGACAAAAATACACAAACGAAACAATACTTCAACGGATTTGAAAGAAACAAAATAACCTAAGAGCAACTGTCTCAACGTGCGAATCCACGGAAGGATTCACTGTTTAAACGAGAAAGAATCAGATAAATGAGCCATTGAAATGGTTGAAAAAGTTACGTGCACAGTTTATCAAACTGATGACCCCGTTTATGCCTATTTATATTTATGCCTGTAACTCATGCGCAATATATAAATTATATGTATTATAACTCGTGTTAATTACTTAATGCCGATGGTCATTAATGTTTGTCATTATTTTCAGTAGTTGCCTGAATTTTTCGACAACACTACTGAGAAAAGTATCTGAATATTTCTTCAGTAGGGTACATTTTACAGCTGTGGGTAAAGGGCAAGGAAAATGGACTCTTCGCAGCAACAATACCAGAGTTTTTCAGGGTTCAGTATTATTTCCAGTAGTGCTTACCTTTCATATAAAAGTCCCTGCATGCGAGAGCTCCCTTCTTTCAAACAGTACACGAACGACGTGTCTATCATATGCCTAATCATCATCCATTCGACACCAGCGCGATTATGATTTTACAGTTATACAGCTAACTGATTATCAGTCCATCGAAATGAACGGAATTAAGCTATCTTAAGCTATCCGTAAGACATCTTCTGTCAACCAACAGTTATGTTCAATTCATAGTCGGAAGTCGTTACATCAGAGAAATACCTTGATCTCACGAAAGCTTTGGCTTTACTCATGAACGATGCAAATTTACTTAATCAGTGACACAGACCAAAAGAACTGCTAACAGATACTGTAAAGCGTGTCGTAATGGCAAAGAAATCTCCTGGATGAAAAAATCTCTCAAATCCAGTTCGACCG